AAAAAAAAAATTGCTTATCAATTTAATTCACGATTATTAGAGTAGTTTTTAATTGTGTTTATAGAAAAACAATTCAGCGTACAATTGGAAAAGACAATATGGTATATATGCAAGTACATATATAGTGTTAGTATATATATATATATATATATATATATTAGTAGCTCCTTAACGTTCGTAATGGATTTGAGTCTTATCGCAGTCTTTGTTTCACGTAACATTAGAATGTTTGTCTTAAACATTGGCTTGGACAGTCTTGCATGCAAATGGTAGTTTTGGTAGCACTAGTTAACCGTTTATAACAAAAGCTACGAGAGATCACCGAAAGCAGGATTTATTAAAGATTAGGATAATTTCGCAATCACAGAGCATTCTATATTCCGAATCGAACCCGCAATGTTAGGGAGAAGACGAATTTTGAATCAGTTTTGGTGACCATTTTAGCAGGTTAGAAGTGAACAGTAATTTTATGAAAATCGTGTGGTACTTATTTTACTCGCAGTATAATCGACAAATTATAATCAGCTTTGTCCCAACGCGTGTCCCAAAAGTTTTCATGGTCATGAAAACTCGTCCTAAATATTTAGTGGTCTTGCGATAATTGAACGAAGTGCGAATAAAAACGGTATCCCTCGATCAAATCGGGAAAAATAAGTCGGATGTCGGAGCGTTCGATTGCGAGAGCGAAAAACAAAAGAGTCGCAACAAAAGAGGGAGACACGCAATAGACGGTCCATGTGCATCGTGCCGGTTCTCGGCTTGTTCGGTTACAGCGTAGCCGCGGTTTCGGCTTCATCACATTCGCCGAGCCCGGTAGCGTCGACAAAGTCCTCAAGTGTCCCATCCACACCCTGGATGGCAAGAAGATTGATCCGAAGCACGCGACGCCGAAGAATCGCGCGAAACAGGCCAATCGCACTAAGAAGATCTTCGTGGGTGGTGTCAGTCAGGACACCAGCAGCGACGAGGTCAAGGCCTACTTCAATCAATTTGGGAAGGTGGAGGAGACAGTGATGCTGATGGATCAACAAACGAAACGTCATCGCGGCTTCGGTTTTGTCACCTTCGAGAACGAGGATGTGGTGGATCGCGTGTGCGAGATACACTTCCATACGATCAAGAACAAGAAGGTCGAATGTAAGAAGGCGCAGCCGAAGGAGGCGGTGCAACCGGGTGCGCTAGCGCTCGGTAAACGAGTAGTGCTCGGTGCTTTAGGTGTGCGGCTCGCGCCGCAACCGCCGCTGCCGGTCGCG